GGTTGTTTATACACATTTTTAACAATTTCTAGTATTTTTGGTATCCACGCAGTTAATAAGGTAACTGACAAATTTTAATTGTAGTGATATTTGTAATTCACAATCTTAAGTATGTATTGATTTTGATTTCATTTACACAGGAAAAGGCTGTTATGATGCATCGTCTGTCCATTGCCTTTTGGGTTTTCACAGTATTTACGCTTATCTATAGTGCAACTCTTTTCATCCTTAATATCCTTTTTAAACCTTCACTAGTTGAAGTATGTGAAAAGTCTAAACCTGAATCTGTTGATGTATATGACTGTGATCGTCATATTGATGTTTATTTGGCAAGGGAAGGTTTGTCACTTTTCATTAGCGAGGTAGTTTTGGTATGTATTTAAAGAATCTTGTAGTTTTTTTTTTTCTTTTTAAGGGATTTCTTTATTTTAATACTCATGATTATTTCTTTTAAAGTTATATTTTACGTATGTGATCTTTAAATACGCAAATCGAATGTTAAAACAAGCCCAAAATTCGACACCGATTTTGCCCTTTGCCGATGGACAACAAACTCCTACATATTCAGCTTATACACATCCACCAACATCAACTAATTGGTCACCTCCTCCAACTTATTCAGTTAGATCATCAAATCCAATTCCTTTTGATTATAATCCCGATTCAAAACAAATCCCTAATTAAAAAAAAAGTTGTTATTATAGATATTAGCATTACTGTATATTATAACTATATCCACGGATAAATATCCTCCCTTTGTATCACATCGTATCACGCCCCTCAAGTTTCCATTTTTACTATTTATTCAGGGGACAGTTTTTTTTGAGTGGCGAAACCTTATTTGTCACGCATATCTATTTGTCACGGCTAGGTTTAGGGTTAGGGTTTAGTTAAGGTTGGTTAGGGTTAGGTGTTAGCATATTATTAGGTGAGGATACTGGTATCCCCCGGTATGAAATAAAAATATTCTTTGCATTTTTGTTTTCATATGTTTTCATATATACTTTTCTACAAAATCAAACTGTTATTAATTAAAACTATTACTCTTTATATTGTAAATAATAACGATATTCAAATATTATTTCCGAGAATAAACAAAAATTTTGAAAATAAATTTTTTGAATGAATTAGACAATTTCTGTTCATCATAATGCACTTTTGGCAATCGAATCACGCTTCCCGAATTAAAAAATTGATAATTCAAAACCCCCCCAATTCTCATCGGGACGTACAGTCTGGTGCAAAAGTCTTTGGACAAATATTTTTTGATATAACTTCATAACAACTGCGCCAAATCACATGGTAAAATATTTATTTGAAAGCCAAAAAGCAGGAGATTTTATTAAAAAAAAATTAATAGGGAGTGCGTTCCCCATTTTTCTCAATTATAAGCTTACATCTCTCCTTCATTGAACTAACTAGACTTTTAATAATGTCTTGTGAAACTTTGACCATTCCTCCTCCATAAAATTTTCCAAATCCCCAATATTTTGTAGTTGCCGCAACTCCATGTTCCTTTTAACAATTGCCCATAAATTTTCTAAAGGTTCAAGTCGGGACTGTTAGATGGCCAGTCCATAACAGCTGGAACTTTTCTTTGCAGAAAATCCTTAGCTACATTG